TACGAGATTATCGATCGCGGATCCTTGAACGGTCATGAGAGGAGGAAGCTCGATTTTACATTGGACTAGCGTGTTGTCCATCGCTGTTAGATCAAGGTGGTCGAAGTCAAGGATCGTTTTTGGTGTTAATATCGTTTGACGAACTGAAGAGAGGAATCTAAACGATCATGCATCTTCATTTTGAGAAGAATAACAACGCCAAGTGCGACTGTAATATACTCTCGCTCAGCTGGATGGGCAAAGTTCCGGACGAATCACCCGAGGTACGATTATTCTATATATTGATATTTAAAAAATAAAATTCTTTTCTTTTCTTTTTCCTTTTCTTTTTTTCTTTTTCCTTTTTTATTTTTCTTCCAATTAAGATGCCAGAGAAAAATAGATCGAAATTCATTGAAGAAAGGAAAGATGGATAGATGGATGGATAGAAGATACTTTCTACGGTTTAATATATATTTTATATATCAATATAAATATGTGTGTGTCTCTTTATGTGTTTGTGTATGTGTGTGTGTGTGTGTGTGTGTGTATGTGAGAGAGAGTCAAGTAGGTATAAAGTTGGAACGCCAATAAAACGTAAAGCTAAACAAGCATCGTTCTAAGTAGGTTAGAAAGTTTCGATAAAGAATTTATAAGCATATAGTCTTTCTTCTTACGATTAGAATCCCTGAATGGATTTTCTATCAAAAGGAATATCGATGATGTTACTTCTTATGAGACATCGATTAAATCGATTTATTGAACGTTTTAAACATTCGAAGGCACATGTATAATAATGTTATATATATATATATATATATATATACATATATATTTTTTTTTTAAATGTTAAATGTTAATGGAAAATATAAAATGAATTTTTTAATGGTAAAACTTTTATTTAACCTTTCAAATTTTTCATTCGTAGCAATCTATTAATCTAAAGAAAAAGTAACCGTAATGATACACACACAAACACGGTGTCGTTGAAAAGACTTTCCACTAATGATGCTTCGTTTGCATAAAATGTTTTCTCTCTCTCTCTCTCTCTCTCTCTCTCTCTCTCTCTCTCCCTTTTTTAAACTATATAATTTTTAAATTCTACTGCAAAATTTCATTATATTTCATCCATTTTATATACTTTCATAGATCTCTTTTTCCTAATTAACAAAATATTATTAAAGTTAATTTTATATATTTATTATTTCTACGATATGTCGATCGATAATTTCATTGTTGAGTCGAAGCACCAAACTATTTTTTTTTTTTCTTTTTTTTTTTTTTATTTATTTCAGCAGTTATTTTCGTATAAAGACGATAATAACGTAATTAGGGAATATCGATTTAGAATCTTTGAAACGTAAAGTTTTAGAATTTGTCTAGTCGAACGAATTATGAAAAGAAGGCAAACAGATTTTCGTCGTTTATCCATGGACGAAGACACGTAATCACGTAAGAGCTTAAAGATAGCACGAATAGAATTTGTTCGATAAAAACTTCTTACTTTTTTTTTTATTTTTATTTTTTTTTTTTTTTTTTTTTTTTAGGTATGACAAATCTTTTTTTCACGTTAAAACTTATTTATATATCTTACTTTACTTTATTACATTAAACAGTGACATGCTTCCATAGGATGTTATATAAAATATTTCATAAATTCGAAATATCGAATACGTTGACATTTTCCTTTTTTTCCTTTTTTGAATTTAATTAATTTATTTATTTATTGCTTTTCTTTTTTTTTTTTTTTTTTTTTTTTTTTTGATAATTTCGTCATATTTTTGTAATGATACAATGATACGAACGATCGAGTTAAAGAGAAATGTCAAAGTTGTTGGTTGATCTTGGCCGACCCAGGTCAATCTAAAAGAAAAAGAAATGAGGTTTCGCAATGTGTACGTGGCCAAGTTGGAAAGCCAACTCAAGGGTAATGTCAGTCGATCGAATCGTTATCACGCGAGGAGAATAAATAAAAAGGACGAAGTAAAAAGAAATAGGAGCTAATTTGAAAGAGAAAAAGAGAGAGAGAGAGAGAGAGAGAGAGAGAGAGAGAAAGAGAAAGAGAAAGAGAAAGACAGAGTTAGAAAAAAAGAAAAGGACGACCTATAACCACTTACATTGTTGAATCGTGAAGTGGCGAAGTTCAGAATGGATTAGCTCGTGGAATCGGTGGTGCGTGTAAGTACGTTGAGTTAACAGATGTGGAGCGTGAAATCAGTTTGTCGTGTTCTCGTGCTAACCGATTCAACTGTCATTTTCGTCTCTGCGTTCGTGTCAAACGCAGCACGAAATTAATATCCGATTCCCCTCATCGCTTACAGATCTCCATCTACGAGAGCATCAACTATTCCTAATTTCTCGTTATATCATTGACTCGGTCTGTTTGTTTAATCGTTAACGCGCAAAAAAAAAAAAAACAAGAAAGAGAGAAAAAAAAGAGAAAGAGAGAAAGAGAGAGAGAGAGAGAGAGAGAGAGAGAACAAACAAAAAAATATTCATTCTGTTGCATTCAACAGATCGACGAAAATAAGAAACGTAAAAAGAAAAGAAAAGAAAAAAGAAAATAAATAAATAAGAAAGATAAAAAGGTACAAGGAATTTTTATCGCATTAAATATTAAAATATGTCATAAATGTGAATTATCTATGTGAGATAACATACGACAGACCGATGTAACTTAATTAGAAATTAATTTTTTCGTTCTTAAAATTGTCCATTCGAATAACGTGTGAATTTTTAAATTGAATAAATCGAATGTATGTATTTATGTACGCATGCCAAAAGACTGACGGAAATAAAATTGAAGTTTCATTAATTTTTTTTAAAGTCAAATAACGTGTTCCGTAATAAATATTTTTTCTTTTTGTCTCTCTCTTTTTTCTTTTCTCCTTTTTTCTTTAAAAAAAATCTGAGCGATTAAACGTACCGTGCAAGAATGGAAAGAAAGATAAAACATTTTTTTTTCTCAAATCTCCAAGGGATGATTTCGTTCGACTGGAGGTCGGTTAATAATCCCTTGGAGAATCGGCAGGCCACATCAAAGAGGTCCAAGGAAGATTGGAATCCGTTGGGAGAGGGGGAGCAAAGTCTTCTCTTAAGAAGGGGGTATATATATATATGTATATGTATATATATATATATATACATATATAGTATGTAAGGTAGGATTCACCCTCTCTTTATAGGCATACGACGATGATGCAACACGAGGGAACAAGAAGAGAACTTTCGTAAAGGGAGAAACCCTATGAGTAACGTTATACTGGCAGAGCCTGCTACTTCTGCTTCCTCAAGATCTAAGATCATGCCTGGTGTCTCAAGTGGTTCTCATTTCATGATATTATACATACATACATATATACATACATACGTGCATACATATGTTCGAACAATTGCCCATTGCATATCAATGCAAATTATAATCGAATAATTAAAATAATTCGTAATATTTCTTCTAATTTATTCAATTTTTGTCAGGGGATGTTTTTTATTCCTTTTTCCATTTTCTTTTTTTTTCCCCGATCTCTCTTCTTCTTCTTTTTTTTTTCTCTTTTTCTTTTCCTCTTTCTCTCCGATCAATCTTATCAATTAGAACGGATGTGTCGTTTTTTCTTTTTTTTTTTTTCTTTTCTTTAATGCCAAATTTTTCTACAGCGTGGGAAGGAAGGAAGGGAAAGGGAAGGAAGAAAAAAGATAAGATAGAGAGAGAGGGAAAGAAAGAGAGAGATGAAAACATTTTCATTTTTCTTTTCTTCTTTTCTTCCTTTCTCTTTATTCGATCGCACGTATAAAAGAATGTGTGGTAAAAGGTATAGGTATTAACCCCTAATATTATCTTCAAAGAGAATAGAGAGACAAAGAAAGAGATAAAGAGAGAGAGAGAAAGAGAGAGAGAGAGAGAGAGAGAGAGAGAGATCGACGACACATCGAGTATACTGAAAGTCTGAGCCCACGTAAAGGGCTTACAAAGGGACCGCGAGCGCGTCTAAAGGCAATGACGTTCAATTAATCTCAGTCTCTCGCTTTCAGTGTTGCAATCTCTCGCAAGTTTTTGGCCACGCTCGTGTTCCCATTCACAAGAGTTTTTGCACTTAAGCACGTGACACACATGTAGATATATTTAGATACACTAACGATATACACACATATAAAATATCGTTCGTATATATAATACATATAAAATATCGTTTGGGTATCATTCGATCGATTATATATTTATACATTATTATTACGATAGATAATCATTAAATTAAATTATTTCAAACACGATGATATTATTATGATCGAACTTATGGTTGAAATATATCGTTCGATTAAAATACCAATTGACGTATATCGAGATGTTAATTCGTGAAAGTAAAGAGGATAACGTGGATTGTTATAGCTTTTAAATTATCGTCATTAAGTTCGTTTCTTTTTTATTTTTGTTTTGTTTTGTTTTGTCTTGTTTTTTTCTTTCCTTATAAAATGCGAAACGTCGGTCTTAATTTTAATTTGTAAATTTTAAAAAGTTGGTTTTATTTCGTACGAATAAAAAATTATTTTCATGTATTTCAATCGAGAAGCCGTTTATTACGAGAAACGATTAAAATTCTCAATCATTCTTGAAATTAATTGAAACGATAAGGAGGATCGATTATTTTCGTCAAGGAAGAAAAATAACGATCGATTTTTCGTGATATTGATCATTTTGATAGTTCTACGTTAAATTTGTAGCTTCCATTGAGAAACTTTTATTAGACGAATCCATAAATTTTATGAATACGTCTTCACGTATGAAGCCATTAAAGAGTTGACCCTTTAAAAATGACGTTAATGATTTAACATTGGAACTAAGTTAGAATGTTTCCAAGCCGATTATTTTCATATGAATAGAAAATAAATTTATCATGGAAATGTAGAAAAAAAATATATATATATATTTTCTTTTTTATACTACCAATGATATAGATAAACGAGCGAATTTTTCGTTCTGTATAGAAAATAAATTTTATTTTTACCCTTGTATATATGTACATATATATATATGCGTCTTTTTGTTTTTTCTTTTCGTTTGATTTTTTTTGTTTTTGAATATTCATAGTGACATGAATATTCAATGAAACGTTTGCCTTCACATCGTGAATATTCAATCGACCGATTTGTAAAAACAAATTTACTAATCATATCATAGTTATGAAATTACTATCTATATATTATAAACTTGAAAAGAAAATCTTAAGAGAATTTATTCTCTTATTTTAACGTATGATTTAGAAGTCGATTATAATTCTCAAAGTCGACATATTTATTCAAAATAAATATGAATAATTTTTCGACATATTTATTCAAAATAAAATCCGAGTTTTATTTACAATTCGAATGATTTATCAAAACGTTATAAACGTAGTATTTATTCGTAGTTACCCTTACGATAATATTTAAAGGAAACCAGTAACGTTCGGTTTTCTTCGTTTGAATTAAAAAAAAGAAAAAAGAAAAAAAAAACAAAGAAAAAAAAGAGAAAAAGTAGAAAAAAGAAAAAAAAAAAGAAGAAGAACAACAAGAAGAAGAAGATGAAGCAAGGACGTCCGCTTCGACGGTGGTAGATCAATTGTAGGTTTATGTTGGGTTTTATAAAAATCCTTGTTTTGTTCTATGGAAAAGTTCTTGACAGAGGGACATAGGAGAAAAAACGTGGGGTTGCTTTGTAAATGGAAAAACTTGTTCCTTTCAACGTCGAAAGAAAAATGAAATAAGGAATGAAACGACTAAAGAGCATAAGAGAAAGAGAGAAGATAAGGATATTAGTGCAGAAAAATATAGGGGAAAAAAAAAAGGAAAAAAAAAGGAAAAAAAAAGAAAAAGAAAGAAAGAAAGAAAGAAAGAAAGAAAATAAAAAAATAATTTTGTGTCTTCGTTGAAATAAATAATAAAAATGAAGAAGATCAAAAATAAAAAAGAAGTAGTAAATATATAAATACATATATACATACATATATATATATATATATATATATATATATATATATATATATACTGGCTTGTATACTGAGAAATATTTTTTTCATATTTTCCATATTTTTTATTAATATGAGAAACAAGATAAAGTGGAAAAAGATGAGAACTAGGAGAAGTGGGAATAAGAAATTTGACAAGTAATATTAAAAAAAGGATAATGTTATATCATTCGAATTATACACTCGCATGGTGGATCATGCTTAAATCGATAATGTCATTATCGAAACCCGTTTTGCTCGTGATGCCAGAGCTATTGTTCTCGTTTAAATCGAATAGTACCACTTAAAAGAAGCACCTGCCTCTTGACGAGAAAACGTCGTATCGCAAGCATATGCTCGTCAAGTTTTTTCATCTCCCTTATTTCGAGTATATTGTTTTTGTCAAAATGATTAACAAGTATCGTTTCACCATTCAAATATTTTTCATGTATTTCTTTTTGTTTCGATTATTTTATTTCTTTTTTTTTGTGTTTTTTTATTTCTTTTTTTTTCCATTCTCCTTTACTATTTCTTAAAGTGAACATTAATCATTGAAACTTCAATAACAAAAAGTTTTCTTCTTTATTCAATTGGAATTAATAGATAAAATAAAATGGAAGAGAGAGAAAGATGGAAAGAAGAGCGTTTAAAAAATTTTTTTCTCTTAGTAATCGTTCTTATTACGAGTTACACGAGACTAAATGATAATTAAATAGGAAAATTTAATTAAACGCATTCACTTTCGTATGTATATATGGATATAGGTATTATATCTACAAAATTAAAAGAGATAATAGCTCGTAAAGACTGTGCTCGTAAATTACAAAAAAAAAAAAAAAAAAAAAAAAAAAGAAAAAAAAGAAAAAAAAAAAGGAAAAGAAAAAGACGAAATTATTCACAAAACGATTTAGAAATATTTATAGGTCTGAATAGGATTTTAATCGAATTAAATGTTTCCATTCGAACTTTGAATGTACTTGAATTGGTTTCTATTGTAAGTTACTCTTCAGCAACCCCGAGAGACAGTCAGATAGAGAGAGTGAAAGAGAGAGAGAGAGAATGAGAGAGAGATAGATAGAGAGAGAGAGGAAATGATAGAGAAAAGGATCACCTCCTTGGGTACTCACTTTATGAAACATTCTGAAACATTTATTTCGTCGTTCTCGCATCTTCTTACAGTTAAATCTACCGATTCCTAAGCACGTTGCATTGGTAATTCTATGGGTGATGTTTAGACACGCAAGTTTGCATGGTAGGAGGTGCTTGCCTTCGAAAATTAGAAAGCTTTGCTTTTAACGATCCGACCCGTGCCGTCTTGCGAGAAACTCCAAAGTCTTCCTATCAACGTTCCTTTTCCACAAGTTCCTTATGGATAATCCTTCATAAGCTCACGCTATCCTTAAAATCTACGTCACCAACTTCTATTACTTTGCTAACGTAAAACGCAATATTTTGCGTGCAAGCGAAAATTTTTAATGAGGCAACTTGAACAACGGCAACTCTTTTGCGTTAATATTTTCACCTAACAAAAGTTGAATAAGAAAATTATATTGTAACTACGACGAACTTTTGACGACGACGACGACGACGACGACGACGACGTTCCCTTCGGAGAATTTTTCTCAAAGATTTTTCAAACGAATTTATAATATCATTCATTAACTACACCACTGATACACGAGAGATTTCAGAATATTCATTTTTCTTTTGTCTTCTTTTACGTTTTATTTTTCTTTCTCGTTCCTTTTGCTCTTCTTTTCTTTTTTTCTTTTTTTTTTTTTTTAATCTTTTTTCTGGCTTTTTTTTTCGTTCTTTTCTTTTCTTTTTATTTTTTTTTCTTTCTTTTTTTCTTTTTTTTTTTTTTTTTTTGACTGATATGCAAACGAACCCCCGACCGGCATTAAAACCGTATCGTTGAATAATTTAAAAGGAAAATTCCTTCCTCGCTCGATAATAACATTGAGGGTAGAAAAAGACAGAGAAACAAAGACAGGGACAAGAGACAGAAAGAGAGAAAGAGAGAGAGAGAGAGAGAGAGAGAGAGAGAGAGAGAGAGAAGGAGGGAGAGGGAGGGAGAAGAATGAAAATAAACTCTTTCAGAGGAGACACGATTTATCGAACAATTTTTAGGAACAAGAAGAACGAAAAGATCGACTTGGAAAATTTCGCTTCTCCGCGGCGATTTCTTTGGACGAGTCAAACGCATCCATTGTTCTACTGGTTAAGTCATACCAAAGCCTTTGTTCTTCGAGTTTACTACTTAGCGCATGAGAGAAAGCTCTCTCTCTCTCTCTCTCTCTCTCTCTCTCTCTCTCTCTCTCTCTCTCTCTCTCTCTCTCTCTCTCTCTCTCTGGCTCTTTTCACTTAAGGGTAATTTACGAGGGCGATTTTAGGTACTCGAGTATCGTTCTAAGAACAGGGTACAATTTTTTCACTTCGACGAAGAATCTGTTTTATTCAATTAAGAACAAAAAAAAAAAAAAGAAAAAAAAAGAAAAAAGAAAAAAAGAGAAGAAGAAATGGGGAAAAAAAAGAAATAGAAAAAACATATTACTCTCATAATTTTTGTTTTCTCTTTTTCTATCTTTTTTTTTCTTTCTTTTAGACGACTATTCTCCTAAACAAATTTTTTTTCTTTCGTGCAAAATCTCATTTCAATTCGGACGGAAATGAAAAGAGATCTTTATTTTCTTTTTTTTTCTTTTTTTCTTTTTTTTTTTTTTTTTGCGAAATGTAATTGGCCAATTACATACGTATGTAGAAGAGAGAATGGTTGCTTCCTTCAATTAAATTTCTTGGACGAAACGCCTACTAAATGTTCACCTCCTCTCTCTCTCTCTCTCTCTCTCTCTCTCTCTCTCTCTCTCTCTCTCTCTCTCTCATTTTGTTGCAATACGAACCTCCGCTCGGCTTCATTTCCGTCGAGAATTTCATCTTTCTCCTTGGCAACGGACTAGCACCCTAACTTCACCATCGCCGTGAGCGAATGCGTCGGGCTTCTCGTAATCGAATATTCTTCAAACAGCAGTCGTGACCCAGACGATTTTCGTTCAGTCTCTCTTTCTATCCATCTATCTATCTATCTAACCATCTCTCTCTCTCTCTCTCTCTCTTTTTCTAAACCATTAAAGAGATATCGAATAACTTCTTTGATACTCCCTCTTTGATACTCTTTCTCAATGATTTTCACTTATTACTCCTTTTTTCTTTTCTTCTTCGTTTTTTTCTTCTTGAAAAATACAAACAAGCTATTAATGTCGTTTCTTAGGAGATAGAACGACGAGGGGAGGTAAAAGACAAAAGAAAAAAAAAAAAAAAAAAGGAAAAAAAAAAAAAGAAAAAAGAAATTCGTTCTCTACTCGATCAGACTTAATTCCGTCTCGTTGATTGTTCGTTTACAATGGACGACACATTGATGATCGTTCGGTGTATTGAAATGTTTCATAGAGATAGAAATGATTTCGATCGTTTCTAAAAGGAGACGGAATAGTAATTGGTTGAAAGGATCGAACATTTCCTGTATTTCTAATTACTATTTGATACGTCTATTAATTAACGAACATTAGTCTTACACTACTATATGCTACAATAATAATCTCATTATAGTAAGAAAATCATTTATATCGTATATAGAAATTTAACAATAACAATAAGAATGTACAATTTTATATTTTATATTTTCGTTTAATCCATGACTTCCTTCTTTTCATTTTATTTCATTTTTCTACTTTTCTTTTTCATCTTCTTTAATTAATAAGAATTAATTGGCGAAATGTGTGGTTTATGAAGTTTTTTTTCTTTTTTTTTTCTCTTTTTTTTTTCTTTTTTTTTTTTTTCTTTCTTTCTTTCTTTCTTTCTTTCTTTCTTTTTTGCAGGACGAAGGATGGAAGCTCGATCGTACAAATTACTATCAGGAGGGTTGGTTAGCTACCGGGAATGCTCGTGGTCTAGTCGGAGTGACATTTACCACTTCACACTGTCGTACCAGAGCAGCGGAACTTCCTTTACGAGCAAACTACAACCTCCGTGGTCATCGTAGCGAAGTGAGTTTGATTTTCACAAAAATTCAAAATTAAAGTTACTCGATCGAATATTCTTGAGTAATGAACGAGTAATTCGATATTTTCATATATTAAGAAATTTTGATTTTATACAAATTTTATACGTATTTTCGTTTCCATTCGATATTAATGAATATGAATTTGACGTTTCACGCGTTCGTTAATGTGCATTATTAAAAAATAACATTTTCGTTTTATTCGAAAAAAAAAGTTTTGCATCTTTTTATATTTAAATTATTACAAATAATGCGCTATATAACTTTTACGTTATATAATATAATTTTTTGTTATGGGCACGATAGAAAAAAAAAAAAAAAAAAAAAAAAAGAAAAAAGAAAATTTAAGTTATAAAGGATTAACAATTGAATTGAATTATTTCCTTTTTATCTAGAATATTCTTTTATTTTGATCCATTCACACGAATAGGAGACGAGTGAGATTTTTTTTTCTTTTTTTATTTTTTATTTATTTTTTATTTTTTTTTTTTTTTTCTATCGACGTTCGAGTCATATTTTTCTCTATATCAGTTCTCTTTTTATAAGTTTTTTTTTTTTTGAATGCTAAATTAGCGAACTCGTTGAAAAATTAGAAGAGAAAAGGAAAAAAAGAAACAAAAAAAAAAGAAAAAGAAAAAAAAAGGAAAAGAAAAACAAAAACATAAAAAGAAAAATAGCGAACGATTCAAAATCGATTCCGATGCTCGTGAATCTCTCGTATTATCGAAAACTACGTCCGACCAGTACTGTAGTTGAATTAAATCAGTACTGTAGTTGAATTCTTCATGGAAATAAAAAGAAAGAAAAAAAAAAAAGAGAGATTCGGGTACTAAAAGCACAATGAAAAAATATCGCGAAACTTTCAGAATCATGAGTTTCTATCTCCTTTATTTCATTCCATTCTTTTGTCTTCATTTTCTTTTTTCTTTTTTTTTTTCTTTCTCTTCTTTCAATTTCAGTTATTGCCTACCAACGTAGAAACGACGAATAACAATGCTATTTACTCGTGAGATTATACGAAAAATATGACGTTATCATATATTCCACCAAGTATGAATATAAACTGATGTATTTCGAGTATAACGCTATTACATTCGTTTGGTAGATCCTTTAAGATTATTTAAATGAATACGATTTAATATTGAATTAATTTCAAGTATATATATATATATAATATATAGAATCATGAATAATCATATATGTATATATATATGTTCATGAATATTCGTAGAAGAAAATTAGGTCTTGAAATTTATTCGATAATATATATCTATATATCTTAGCTATTTTTTAAAAATCAAATAAATTTTTGCAACGAAGAGAGAGAGAGAGAGAGAGAGAAATCTCTATCTTTTTCTATCTTATTAAATCGGAATCGTTTCGTGTAAATGTAAATGGTGCAGAATTAACAGGAGAATGATATTAAAGAAACGAACTTTTCTTCCAGTTCGTAAAGCAACAGACATTGTCAACGTAAATTGAGTGTAAATCATGATTTGAACGTTCGATTAAACATTCTGAAATCTCATTTTTCCCGGAATACACGTGGTTATCTATATACCATATACATATATATATATATATATACATATATATATTACATATACGTATCTTATACGATGGAGGGTTGAACGAACTCGATAAAATAGTTATGCGAAAGCTCATCGTCCTATCAGTTTCATACCACTCGTGTAGTTTTCTTCTAAATGTTCGATCAAGAAAGAAATCGAATATTTGGGAATGGTTGATAAGATACGAACCTATTCGATCATTTTTTTTCCTTTCCCCCTACCCCCCTTCCCCCAAAACGTGAAATAACAAAATTATCTGTAATAGTCAGAAAATTCTAGATTAGGTCAGATTTTGTATAAATCATTCGTTTCGATTTCAATTTAATCGACGAAAATAAAACGAGGAAAAAGAGAAAAAAAGAACAAAGAAAAAGCAAAGAGAAGAACAAGAAGAAAGAAGACAGCAAATAAATCGATTGCATTAAAGAGGAAAAAGAAAAAAAAAAAAAAAAGAAAAAAGAAACGTTCGCGTTTTGTCGAAATAATAATATTTCTCTATGCTTCACAATAATACGAAGGGATATTTAAATGATCATATTTAAAAGAATCATCCTGCATATAAAATATAATTGAAAATCAATTTTTAAAGATAACAATTTCTAATCAATTAAATAGCAACCCATTTTTCAAATAATTTTATTCGTGCATATTTAACAAGTCATAAACATTGGCTTAATGATTTGTTCGAAATGTTGATTGATTAAAAGTGAGTAACCTTTAATCGATATTATAACGTGATAAAAGAGAGAGAGAGAGAAAGAGAGAGAAAAAAAAAAGAGAGAGAGAGAGAGAGAGAGAGAGAGACGGTTGAGATATGAAGAGTGAAAAAGAATAGAAAAAAAAAAAGGAGAAAAAAGAAAAAGAAGAGATAGAAGCATCTAAGTCTGCTTATAGTGCGACGACTTCTTCGGTATT